CACACACACACACACACACACACACACACACACACACAAACACAAACAAACGAAAACACAATATGAAGATTGAAGCAAAGCAGACAGAGAGAGAGTGAGGCAGAGAGAGTTTCTAAAGTTTGTATCGCCACAGCTGAACTTTATAAAGTTGCAGGTTAAGTCTACTGTAACTCTAATAAATGTGACTGCAAAAACAGAGAACCCCCCCCAAAAAATATCATAAAATATTTAACTTAGTGCACCAGACTGAAGCTGAGAGTGGCCGAGCATTATAAATCCTTGCTAAGTTTTTTCTCCAATGAGCTACTTTTTTGTCTTCCTGATGAAACCTCATTGAATACTGAAATCAGAAACGGACAGAAGGCTGATTTCTCCTAAGCAACTCCTCACACGCCCAGTAAAGATTCGACCCTAACAAATGTCCAACAGGCATGCTACTTAAAATAACATCCCCGGCGAATTTCCCAGCAGTGACAACTATTACATCCTTTTGCATAACAGCTTCATGATTACCCAAGTGGACGAATACAAAAAAAGGCAACATATCCAAATGTAGGTCTGCTGAGATAATTTCCATTTCATCCCATCTCTATGGAAACCAGGGACCAAAATAAAGTGGAAAAACTGCTGCCAGTGCTGAGTGTTTTTTTATGTTACAGGAAATAGTAGTCGTTTTGAAAATGCTGCATTTACTTCATGTAGAAGTTTGCTTCGGTTCACCACATCTGTTTTTTACATGGGCACATTTGTATACAAAGTGCACAAGGGCTATCATAACATAAATAGGTTTAAATCTTTACACAGGCCTAGAGATTGGTTGGCAACCCCAGGAAACCTCTGATAATTAGTAGAACCCCCCGCAAGTAGGGAGATCCTGTCTGTAGCATATTGCTGTCATCACCCATAGTTTACATGGAGGATGGCAACTTGTCAGCATTTAGTCTCCGGCCTGTAGCTGCGCATTTTAAAATCTGCTGAATGAAACGGTAAGGCACAACTTTTACGCTGAAGCCAAAAGGTCTCAGTTTCCAGTTTGCATCACACATTTTCACAGTTTCACTATCACTTAGTAAGTAGTTGGCGAGTGTTTGCAGACCCACAGTGAGACTAAAGCAACCTGCTGGCAACAAAAGGCAATTGCAAGAAAGGGGGCCGGGTCGTGGGGGCAGCAGCCTAAGCAGAGAAGCCCAGAGATCCCTTTCCCCAGCCACCTCCTTCAGCTTGTCCGGGGGAACACCAAGGCGTTCCCAGGCCAGCCGAGAGATATAATCTCTCCACCGTGTCCTGGGTCTGCCCTGGGGCCTCCTCCCGGTGGGACACGCCCGGAACACCTCACCCCGGAGGCGTCCAGGAGGCATCCTTGTCAGATGCCCAAAGAAGTTCAGTCATCCGGGAGGGGCTCAGAGTAGAGCCGCTGCTCCTCTACATCGAAAGGAGTCAGTTGAGGTGGTTCTCTAAGGGAGAGGCCAGCCACCCTTCGGAGGAAGCTCATATACTTGTTTCTACACTGTAGCAACTGCCAGGAACCACTCACCAACTAGTTGTGGAATAACATAGTCTTCTCTTGCGACCAGTGTTTACCAGGGAGTTACTGACATGTCTCTAGGCCTTAGTTCTTCTAGGCCTTAGCAATCAGTTCCACAGTGTCTACCAGCAAACTCCAATGACTGGGGGTTAGCAGATGTCTGCCGACCAGTCTCTAGGCTTGTGTGATTGGGGCCTTAAAGGCCTGGAGCTGAGTCACACTCAGTCCACTGAGATGAGGACACAGCCTCCAGTACATGGGTTGACCAGTAGGGCAACCCAAATATTTTGTGCAAAGCTGTGATCTGATAACGGTCCTTAAATTTAAGAGATCACAAATCTAATAACCTGTTTTTCAGATTTGACATTTCAGCGTTATTTCAATGATGTGATAGAAGAAAAGAAAGATGATAATTAAAACCACTGCAGAACCTCTCTGGTGACACTGGGTGGAAAAAACTATTGCAAGGCCATAAGACGACAATTATTGCATGATCACATGATGAATAGCCTGTGGCCATGAGTTAGTAATGCATAGAAATTGCATAATTAATTCTTAGTCTGTTCACAGAATATAGAATACAAGGGTAAGCGCAACAGGGGTTTTTAATCACTGAAAGACAGCAACAATTTAATTTAACTGTATTTTATTTAAATTTTTGAAATTTGAAAGAGTATGCTGGAGAACTTAAGACTTCATCTTATCACAGCCTATAGTGATAACTATAGCCGGTAATTACAGGTTCCAGGGGGTGCTCTTCAAGCAGTTTAGTGGAGAGAAAAGTCATCTAATGCAAAGAAATGCAAAGGATCCAAAGTGCATTAGTAATCGCTGTTAAAACAAAAGAAATGTCTTTGGAAACAAAGCATCAATCATTTAAATTTAGAAATGAAAGCACTTACTATAATCAATTCACATCATCAGGAGTTGCTGCACAGGAGTACCCTATCGACTAGAGCTGTGCAATATGACCAAAATCTCATATCCCGATATAAGACATCTATCGTCCGATAACGATATATAAATCACAAAAATGTAACATTTTCTGTAAATGCTGTGAATCTCGGGCAGCTCGACTTGCGTGAAGTGTTTCCAGCTGGGCGTCGTGTACCTGGAGTCGAGTGTTTTAACCGATGCATGACATAAGTTATAACGGCTGAAGTTTTCTTTGTGAGTATTTATTACACGGCGTGCTGCAGGGAAAAGCCTGTTTTAATGTTTGAGACTAAGGTTTATTTTTTACCACCTGAGGCCTAAAAACAGGCGCTTGTCTGTCCGTAGTGTGGTTATATTAAATATAAGAGAAAGAGAGAACTTTAAGAAATTAATATAGCCACTACAGTGACCATCAAAACAATGAAAAAATATTGCTGTAAACAGTTTATTTTGCGACACCACGAAACAAACAATAGCGTAAAATGAAACGATAGACGTTTTTATATCGTCATCCGATATATATCGTTATATCGAACAGCCCTACTATGGACAGCAACTTCCTATGGACATGCTTTTATTCTAAAGTGGAAGAGTAACCTATTTGGTGTTTTCTCGCAAGCTCTAGTGATGTTCTGAACTGCTAGACACCAGAAACCCGCACCACGAAGCAGGATTTGGGGTCATGCAGGTAACTTCTGGGATAATGCTGCTTTATACACAAAAGCAGGTTATTCTTTACTAGTGTACATCGCTCAGTAATTTATGCTGGAAACCTACTTGTTTTCCTACTCAAGCAGATTACGCTACCTTTGTGTGCAGAGTGCAAGAGTCTAAATTTTTTTAATAGCATCTGAAGTCTTAGTCTGCCTCGAATCATGATCAGTAGGATATATGGATTCTTATGTGCATTTACAATCCTGTCCTAATTTATTTTTAGCAAAACATTGATTTACAATTTTAGGAACCTATTTGTACATGGTCTAAATTCACACTTACACAGCTGCTGTTGTTCTCAGTCTATATTATGTGCTTTAATATGATAGTTTCTTACTTTATAAAATCAGTTGCTCTGCTATAGATCCTGCTAACTGAAGCCCTTGCATGGGAACGTGCTTTTAGCTAGATTGATAAACCTTGGGTTAACTTTTGGACTACATCATGACCATGAGTTATTAATTTTGTGGCATTAATATTCTTTTACACCTACTGTGTGGGGTGTAAAGTAATCTTCATCTAGGATTCAGTTGAGTTGCTATGCAAAATTATATCACAACACATCAATCAGTTGTGCATATATGTTATTGAAAGTGAT